CATTTGCTAATATATGGTCTAGACGAATTTGAATTTGTGAAAATTACATTTGTGCGTGTTTCGAAGACGACTTAAATTATAAGTTGATTAAATGACAGCGCACATTAATAATTGATAGTTTTGTCGTAGCATATCTTTGGACGGGTCTGTCAGACACAGTGTCACTTTAATTAAAGGCCAAATGCCTTTCAAATATTTAAAATATTTATTTGTGTGGTGGAACGGTTGTCTATTGTCATTGACACTGAGCATAGGCAATGACCGTGACTGGAATTCACAGAGCCCTCGGCGTAGTCCACGACGTCCAACAATGACGTTAATGACACTGACGAGTGCGGCAGGACGCACGCACATGCATCGAACACAAACAAACAAACAAATATAGGCAAACAAACAAATAAAATGTACGCACGTATGCAACAGCAACAGCAACAGCTACAGCTACAGTGGCTGCAGCAGCTAATGCTGTGGTAAAATAGGCAGGACACATGCCACAGTAGGAAAAAAAACTGAATCAAATGTCATGGACAAAATGCAAAATGAAACACGGGCGTCATTCTTTGCGTAACTCTCTCTGTGTGTGTGTGTGTGTTTGTGTGAGCTAGAGGCTTGCACTTGCTAACACCCACTCACACACATACACACTGAAACAACAGGCAAACATCAACAAATGGCGCCTGATTGCACGGAAAAGCAGCAGCAGCAGCAGCACCAGCAGCAGCAGAGGAACAAAAATCGACAACCAGTTTTGTCTGCGTGTTTGCTTTTCTAGTCTGTCCATTCGTTCAACTGACTGTCTGTCTGTCACTTTGTCTATCTGTTTGTCTGTCTGTGCGACGGAACATTCAACATTTTGCCGCCATTAAAATCAAATTGCGCTTTCGTGCACGATCCTCGCCGCATAACCAAGCAGCCAGGCGGGAAGTCGGGGAGGCAGCACGGGCAATTTCGGCTATTTCAGCATTTTTTATGATTAATAAAAAACAAATGCAAATACTCAAAAAACCAGTCAACGAAATGAAAGCGAATCTACACTTGAACAAAAAATAATGTTCGAGAATTTCGAAATTGTTGTTTTCTCTTTATAAAAGAAATGTTCATTGTTGGTCAATTATTATTTGTATATTTATATTTTTTTAAAGATAGGAAACATTTTTAACTTATAATTTTAATACTATTTATGTTGGTTTTAAGTTCGATTTAACAATTATACATTTTTCTAAGTGTGCGGCTGCTGTGCGCTCAACCCTGCTTTTGGTGCTGCTGCTGCACTTCGTTTTTGCTCGACCTTCACACGGGTGTGCAGGGTGGCTGGTATTGGAATGGGTGTTGGCTGCCAGCCTCCTCTGCACCCTTGCACCCCTACTGTACTGCACCCCAGCGCTGCTGCCATCAGCCATCAGGCATGCAGCACTTTCGTTTAATTTCTATTAGTGCTGCCGCACCGGTTGTCATTGCTGTGGCACGCGGCACAGGTTGCTGAGGTTACCATTGCCAAGCATATGGGGGCAAGGGCTGTACAGAACAGGGTAGGAGTAGCAGCAGAAGGGGGAACGGGAACAGGGCGCAGAGCAGACGGAATGCTTAATAATTGTTTGTATTTCTCATGGCACTCGATGTCAGTCAAAATCGTTTCCTGAATGCGTTTGGTTTTACGACTGACATTTCTGTTCACAGACGGCAACTGTTCTTGTTTTTACCATTAAAAAGAATCAATAACAAATTTAGTTAGACAAATACTCGAATTTCACAAGCTTTTTGACTAGAAAATGTGTTGCTATCTTTGAATGCAGTATTGTTCTAGAGGTCAAAATAAAACACTTATTTATAAAATGCGTTCTATCTTGACTTGAGTTATGAATGGAAAAATTTGGTTTGATTATCAATGTACATTTTTAAAAACTTTAATGACGATAATCATCAAAAATAAATGAATGTAGTTAAGTCAAGGTAAAATGCGATGTGTGATTTTTAGCTTACCATTTGTACATTTTTGTGTGGAAGCCTGTCAAAATGTGTATTGTCTGCCATCTACTGAAATCCTAATTTAAAGTTATTTTCATAGTGCTTTTATTATATACGTTAGCGCTCTTGACGTATTTTATTCCTTTAGTCTCATGCGCTGAAAAGTATGCAGCACTTTATTTCCATTTGAAATTACCCCTTTTTTGTTGTTGTTGCTGCTGCTGTTTGTTGTTTGTTTTACAACGTTTTTAACTTGTTTGCAAGGATTAGGTAAGCAACTCAAACACAACAACGACGATGACGACGACGACGACGACGATGTTGCTGGATGAATAGCAGCCAAATGCAAACTCATAAAAAAAAGGAGGCGAAGCTGAAACCTGCTATCGTCGTCCTCCTCGTATTTGGCAACGCCCGTATGCTCCTGCTCCTGGTGCTGCTCCTGAAGGGTAACCTGCAGCGTTTGGCGTACGCCAACATTAAATGCATCGAATTACATTTTCTATTAAGCAGCGCAAGTCGAGGAGGCAAGGAGGCAAGGATGCGAATGCGGGTTGAGAGACTTGAACCGGTCTGCTGACTTTGACTTTGGCATTGGCCCGCCAGAGTTTTGTGGACGTGGACGCCCCGGGTTGCCTGCGGGTCGCTGGGCTACTTTGTGGCTCTAGCTGTGTGTGTGTGTGTGTGTGGGTGTGGCCAAAGCAAATGTTGCTCGTTTGTTTGCTGTTTGTTTTACAATTCATTTTTTAACGCTCTTCTGCTGTGATTTTTATTTTTTGTTATCCCTTATCGTCCTGTCGTCGCTGTTGTCGCTAGCTGACATTGTTGTTCGGCGCCTTGAAACTGCAGTGCCTTAGTCCTTGCTACTTGCTGCTGGCCCTATTTCTGCAGCCGTACCCCTGACCCTGCCCGTTTCCGGTCTTCGTTTGCGTCTTGATGCCGCCTTTTTGCCTTTGCCTTGATTGCATAAGTTTTTTTAGTTGCGCTTCGGCTGCACGCGGTCTGCTCGTCTGTCTATCCTGCTGCTGCCAAGGTCCTGTTTTGTTAAAGTTATGAAAGTTGTGTCCCTGTTTTTTTTTTAATTTTTTTTTTTTTTGATTTGTCGTTCTCTCGTCCTCACGTGTATTTAGCCGGCTCTTTAAGCGCACATTAATCAAAGTTTTTCGCTTCTTGCGAAAGTCGTTCGTTCGGCTTTCGTCCAAGTTTGAGGGCATTTATAAGGCAATTGTTTGGCTTGTTTTTGTGTCCGCCTCAGCGCACACGACACAGGTGCGGGCAGCAGTCTAAGCAATATTCAGGTTGTTGGCGGGATTCACGATTCAGGATTCAGGATACCCCGCTGTGAGTTCGCTGACTGTTTGGCCAATGCAGCAGGTTTCTTTTGATGAAGCATATTAAAGCCTTATGCTTTTTGCTGTCGCACAAAGTAGCCGCAAATTGTCTTGGCTTTCAAAACACACACACACACACACACACACACAGAATTGAAATTCCAATGCACGAAATTTGAGCCGAAATGCAGAATACGCCAAATGCCAAAACTTTGTTAACTCTTGCGGTCAGCCAAAGGGGCAGACAGTTTGTTGCCGTTAGCTGTTTACTGCTGACTGTTGGCCTCTGTCTGATTCTGTATTCTCAAGCCAAGTCCAAGCGCGCCATAAATAGCAAAACTTGTTGAAACTGTCTGAAGGTTATTACACTGCAAAAATGCAATGTAGAAATCAATTATGAGAGAAAATTGGTGAAGCATAATGATTTTAGTCGTGTATTAGGCAAAGAAGTATTCATAGCATTAAGTAAATAACACTAGATAATATTACATTCACAGTTGCGTTGAGAGTTTCAAGTAATCGAGATCGATAACAATAATAATAATAATAACAATCGATGGATTCACTCTGACAATAAACGTTAAAGGAATTGAATTGCTGAAATAAAAGCAAACTTGAAAAGATAAATATGTTGGTTAAATTATTTTCAAAGAAAGAGCATCCTAACATATAAAAATCTTACCAATTATATATGATATATGTTTTTCATTAAATTTAATTATATCAGAAATATATTCTTATCTCAAATAGTACTCAGTTTTAATATTTAACAGTGTATAGTAAAGGAACTTATTTTCGTACGCTTTTGCATGCCATAAGAATTAAGAATTGAACTTCCACTTCTGAAGTTATATTCAAACACAAACACACAGATACACACACACACATACACATACACACACACACAGGAAGACTAGGAGCAGTGGCTACTGTTTAATTGTCTTTGAGTGTCTGCCCTGCGGGCTAAATGCCGTCTGCGTGACTGTCTGAGTGACTTATGTCTGGCCTTAAGAGAACTTTTTTTTCTTTTCAATATTTTTTCTTTTTTTCTGCAGCCAGCCTACACAGAAATACAGCATTGAAATTGTGCTGAAATTTTCACAAGGCAGCTGCACGCGATGCCCAAATGCAGGCAACGCAAGAAGAAGAATAGGAAGAAAAAAAGTTTAGTCAGAGTCTGGGCACACACACACACACACACACACAAATGTAGATGTATTTGTGTGTAGTATTTCAGCTGCAATTACAAGCATATGCATAAATAATAATGCACGAAAATGCTTTAAGTGCAAGTGTGTGTGTGTGTGTGTGTGTGTGTGTGTCTGGCTGAGAGTCTGGACGCCTAACCGTGGTTCCTGTCTCTTCTTCTTAGTGATGGGGTAGCTCAACTGGCAACAGTCTCGTCTGGTCTCGTCTCGTCTCGTCTCGTCTCGCCTGGCTTTGTGTGCACTTCAGCTTGAATGTGTCTGCAGTTACCCTTGAAAAATATGCGGCTGCTGCTGTTGTTGTTGTTTTTGTTGCATAGCGTTGCACATTGCACATTGCAACGTTGCTGCATGTGCTCTAAATGAGTTCAATACACTTCGTAAACATAAACAAAAAACTGGGAAATATACATGGGGATATTTTAGCACTGTTAATTGTGCGCTCTTTACGCGCATGCGCATCACCAACTAATGCTCTCTTTTTCTCCCTCTTTCACAGGTGGAGCCGAACAGTTGGCAGTTCGTGTCAGTTCGTCTCGTCTCTGGCCACTGGTGTGTGTTTATTTAACACAGTTACTCGTGTCACCACAGCTCAGTTCGTATTTGCAGCTCGTGCCGTGCATTACGTACGTTAAGACCCAAGCGACGCACACACGCACAGTTTGTTTGCCAAATCCTCAAGAATTGCGTGTCTCTCGACTCGAAAACAATGTGAAAACACTCCAGAGAAAGAGAGACAGACAGAGAGAGCGAGAGAGAGAGAGAGAGAGAAAGAGATCAAGAAATATCCAAAACAGATCAGTATTTTGTCAAGCTCAATGTTAAACGCCGCGCTGCTCGCAACGCGTTCGCCAATTTTACAACATTTTTGTTGGCATTAATTCACGATCCATACGCGTGTTGTGTTTGAGTGTGTGTGTGTGAGAGTGTGAGTGAGTGTGTGTGAGTGTGTGCATACATAGCTATCAGCCAGGACCAAGGAGCAGCAGCAGCAGCAGCATGTGCTCCTCGAGGCTGCTCAGCTTTTGGCTTGTCGCGCTCGGCGCGCAAATAATTTATGTGGATTATGCTCGGGCGGATTATGAGAACACTTGGAATTTATATTACGAGCCACCTTGTTGCACGGGCGCAGCAGCTGTTGGCCATCACTTGCGCCACCACAAAGGTAAGTCTACAGCATTTTCTTTCTCATTTTCCATTTTCTATATTTTCATTTATCCCTCTTTGCATAATTCAAGCCGTAATTTCTGTTTTTAAGTAAGTGCAGCCAGCAGACAGCAGCTAATAGCAGCTGCTATATCAAAATTTATATACTTTACTTAGACCTGGCCACACACATTTGTCTGACTAAACTAAATGGTCGACGCCCCAAAGAAAATGGCAAAACAAAAATTGTTGAGCAGCTTAGCCGTGCATACAAATCGTGGCACAACAATGGCAAATCGAACCTGGACAAATAAGTCAACAGCTTAGGGCTTATACTTAAAGAGCCGCCGCGAATGCCCAGCACATAGTTTGGTCAGAGCCGAACCGAAGACGTTTAGCCATTTTCCCCTCATCATTTTTTCTATATTCCTTTCTTTTTTCTTTTTTTTTTTTTTGGCTAAGAAATAATTTTTACTTTAAGCGGATTTTGTTTTGTTGCCGGCCAACGTCTGCATTGATTTGCCATTTCGTTTCACTTCCGTCTGTTATCCTTTCGCCATTTTGGCCATTTGGCACCCGATACTCGGATGCTCGACGACTGCTTTTGTTGTTTTTGGCTATTGTCTTATTTGCTTGGCATTGAGTTCCAACTTATAGACTCATTCGCGCCCAGCTGCCTGTGATTCTCAGCTCGCCCTCAGCTCGGCTCAAATTAAAAAGTTTTGCTCAGCTTTTTTTCTTTTATTTCGCCTTTTTTGTTTTGTTTTGTTTGGTTTAATTGCAGGCTGTCCGTCTGTCCGACTGTCTGTCTCTCTGTCTGTCAGACATTTCCGCCACTTGAGCTGGCCTTGCTCAGCTTTTAGTTGTTTGCTATTAGTGTTTAATTAGTTTTCAAGTGGTGTTTTTATGGACTTAAAGTGGAGCTTATGCCTGCTTGGCCTGCTTTGCTCAGATTTGTTGTTGGCTCCTGATATAGATGTATTCATATATGCATCAGTAATGGGCCAACTCTCTCACTTAGCCTGAACTCGGATTGCACTGTTTGTGTGTGTGTGTGTGTGTGTGTGTGTGGCCTACATTTGCTTGTTGAATAATTAAAAGTCATTTGGCTAAACCAAACATGAAAATTGCACACAAGTGCATCAAAAATGCAGCTCACATTAAGTAATCCGCTTTAATTTACTACCACACACATTCATTTAGCCCACACACACACTCACACACACACACACTCATCCACTTGCAGTGCAGTGCAAAAGTTTGTTGCCTGTTGAAAGACAACAGTCGATTGTTTGCTTAGTTCATTTACACCACTAAATATAAAAAGTTGTGCGCAAAGTTATTAATTTTTACGTTGTGAAATTATGACAGTTGTGCCATGTGTTGTGCCACACACACACACACTCACACCTACACTACTTTACTGACTGACCAAATGTCCATCGTGTTTCTATAGCTACAACTTGTATTAACAACGCTCTGGGGCTTGTTGCATGCCACACAGCCCCCGAGCAATATGAGAATTGTGCACAAAGCGAAAACATTGCATTCTAATTATCAACTAAAACTGTGTTCATATAGTTATTAACTAGTAACAGCTATTGTTCAATGCTCGCCGTCTGCACTTTTTTTTTGCAATGGTTTCAACATAATTCATGCTTCAGGCATGCAAAATGTCTGTCATTATTGCAACGCATTAGCTGATATCAATAGGGAATTTAATTTCCTGTTCGTCATATTAGCAGTTAACTTTTATAAATATTTAATATTATTAGAATACTAAATTCGAGGTCATATTAAAGAAAAATTTAGGTTTATTTGGTAATTTGACAGCACATGAAACCAAAATGATAAAAGCAACTGTGACAGGAATTGCATTGCGTATTTTGAACATATGAACCAAATACAATAAATATATATCGCCTATAAAATATATTTATTCATTATACGAATAAATATATGAAACACTTATTCAACCCAGAATCTTTTTTTAATTCTTGTTAATTAACTTGTTTTGAGAATTAGCATACATATTAAACATATTAAGTTTTCATCAAAAGGACAATCTTAATTATTCATTAAGCATTTAGCTTAGTGGATATTAAAGATAAATATTTTTGGATGGACAACAGTTAAACAGTTTAGAATTCGAGGGGCCAGAAGAAAGTCCGTTTTGGGCAGCTGCAGGAGACCGCAGCCATTTAAACAATTAATGCAATCAAATCAAAGACAAAGCGCAATTGTTCCAAGGCGGTTTTGTGGGCGCGGTTCAGTTTGAGGCGACTCCGCTATACAAACAGAGACGGGATGGTGGGGATGGAGGCGCTGACCCCTTTTTTCTTTACTTTAACGCTCATAAAGCAAGAGCCGAGTACAAATTTTAAGCACCAAAGTTGTGGCTTGGGAGCCGCAAAAAATAAAAATAAAACGAAACTTAATAAAGGTATGCCATGGCCAAAGTAAGCAACAAAAAACCAAAAAAAAAAAAGTAAATAAAAATGGAGAATGTAAAAAGGAAAAGCAAAAAAAAAAAAGAAGAAATAACAACAGCAAACAGGCGAAAAGCAGCAGCAAACGCAAAGCAAAGTAAAAAGTAGCATATCAGATGTTTGCGTTGTTAATTAAAGAAAAACAAGCAAAAGTTTAATGGCGAATATTAGCGAGAAGGCCCCCCGGTCACATCTACCACCGACCACCGACCACCCCCACCCGGCTAGCCGGAAAAGCAAATGCCAGGCCAAAACTTGCGGCCGTTGCGTAAATAGAAACAGTAACTGAAAGAATACGCTGCCCCAAAAAAAAAGGGTGTAAAAATACACAAGAACTTGCTACACTTTAGCCCAACAACAACACCAACATGTTGGTCCTCATTTCGTGCACGCACGCAAGCCCAAAAGGAAAAAAGAAAAACCCCCCAAAAAAATGAGAATGAAAACTGCGCACAAATGTTTTGCTTGTAAACTTAAAGAATTTGGGGTATTTAGCGCTGCCCACTTTACAAAAGCAGTCCCAAAAAACTTTTGACGCTGGCAAAGTTTGGCGCCAGGTAAGTATGTGGGTAGCCTCCAACTTGCCTGGGTAAATTAGCCACTTCGACAGACAGACGGACAGATCTTTCTCTCTACCTCTTTCTCTCCCTTTCTTTGTGCAGCAATTAAGCAACAATTTTCAGCAGTTATCTGTAAGAGCCAAAAGAGCAAAAGTTTGCGATTGCATTTCATAAATCCATCAGCGAATTTACACAATTGAATCGAGCAATGGCCACAAGCTGAGAGATTTTGGCATCAATTATTAAGTTGATGTGTGGAAAACAATTTGGCAAAGGCAAAGCCAATGCTGAAGTCAAAAAGAAAATGCTAAAATGCCTGTACACACAACAGCCCTCATCAAAATCAACAACAAGAACAACAAGTACAAACAGGAAAACAGCGGCAACGACAAATAATCTGAGTCAGGTATTTGTTGATGGGCACAAACACACACACACACACACACACACACACACACACACACAGGCAAACACACAGGCAAACACACACACATCCACTGAGTGAGCCTCGCATTGATTGTGCGCTGCGGCGTATACGCAATTTACGAGCAGCGCCTTAAAGCAGGCAACGAGAATTTAACAAAGGCTGACAAATTGTCACACACAAAATCAATATATTTGAGCAAACCAAACACAGAATGCTGCTGTTACACCAAACGCACGGAGCCGCCTCCGTGGACGGCCTGTTGCTCCTTTTATGAGCTTTGTGCCACACAAAAATAAAAAACACATCGTGTCGGTTCTGTGCCTCCCTAAAGAGAAAAGATAAAAAATAAAACGAAGTAAATCCCAAGGCCCAATTCAAGGCGATTTTCCTTGCTGGCTCGTATTTCAGATTTAGCTCGCTTTTTTGGCAAGCTTGTTAGCGGCAATTTGACCAAAGCCATTATTTACAGGCGCTGCTGACCCAATTGCGTATTGCAGCTAAACAGAAACATCATTAGGCAGCTACACCAGAAGCAACAGCAATGGCAGCAGTTGCAGTTGCAGCTGCGTTTTGCACTCAGCGACGAGTGGCAAGTGCCATAATTCAACTTATGTGTAACGTTTGCCCAAACAGTCGAAAGCCGCAAGTACAAATACTTGTCTAATACACAAACACACACACTTACCACAAAATGTAATACATCTTCACACACACACTCACACATATATCTGAATATGCTGCTTAGCATCACATGTGGCACACATTTTGGTGCACCACACAGCGCTTGTAATACAGCCTCAATCTCTCTCTCTCTCAGTCTCTCTCTCTCAGTCTCCCACTGGCTCTCCCTCTGTGTTTGTGTGTGTGGTTAAGTGTGCATGTAGTGACACCAACTAACACAATGACAATAAACACACAGCAGGCGTTTTGGGCTTGACGCTACTCATTCGAAGGCAGCTACATTTAATGACTACAAATTAATTAAACTAAAAATGTTTCGTGCCACTAAATTTTATTATCAAAAGTTTTGTGCTGAGTTTTTGTTGGTTGTTGGTTTAGGCTGAAGCCTTCGTAAAAGTATTTAAATTTTGACAGACATTTAAAACGTATTTGAATAGTTTAAATTTAGAATTTTCAATTGAGCTAGGTGTGCTATTAATTTTATATGACTGATAATTAAAAATAGCTATTGATCCAAATTCAGTTGAAATTCAATGACAAGTGCTGATCATTTAGCCTTTTTTTGTTGTCACCAACTATTCTTGTGCAGGTATTATTTTTAATTTAAAACTTAACTCTTTCCCCATTTCTCTCTCTTTTTCTCTATTTATAAGTTTTCTTTTGTTGAGTAAAGAGTGGTTTTTAAGAAGTGTAAAAACGTTAAGGTATTATTTTTTACATATATATTTAATTATATATTGCTGTTGAGCACGGGTCGGTTATATTATTTAAAATAATGTAATGAAATGTGCAGATATTTAATTTATTTAAAACACATGTCGCTTGATTTAATTAACTGCACGTGGCTGTTGCGGCTGGGGAC